CAATTCTGGAAAGTGAGGAAGAGTGGTGATGATAAAGGAAAAGAAGGAATAAAGTTAGGCACAGTCATAGACAATGTGTTATTGTGCTCCTGGGAGGAAGGTTGTTGAGTTAGCTGGGGTTCCTAATTTTTTTCTTGGGGGCTTGAACCTCAAACTCATAACACCAACCTTCAGATAATGAAAATAGGAGAGTCTTCCCAGAATAGTAGAGCTAGTTAATGGCAGATTCCCAGAATAGGATTCTTTTCAATGTGTCCTAAAATGTTTTGGGGATGGCCTGGTCAGATAAGTAATGTATATTATCTTCTGGAATATATAATTTTTTTCCTTTTATTTATAGCTATTTAGCCTTGAGCCAAACGTATGGAATTTCTCTTAGGAAAATTATTTTCATGAAAACATCCTCAAATGAAGGCAATGGGAAAAGGATGAAAATTTATAAATATATAGGTTGAGCATCCCTAATCCAAAAATCTGAAATCCAAAATGCTCCAATGAGCATTTCCTTTGAGTATTGTATCAGTGCTCAAAAAGTTTCAGATTTTTGAGCATTTCAGATTTTGGAATGTATGTATTCTGTAAATATTCCAAAAATTCAAACATAACAGAAATTGGACACACTTCTGACCCCAAGATTTTTGGATAAGATGTACTTAACTTGTAGTAGTTTAAAAAAGTGACACATAGGCACATGTATACATATGAATATGTGTGTGTATTTGTGATAAATAAATACATGTTTGGCATAAATAAATACATGTATACAAATAGATGTATTTTTATGCTAGTTAAGCACAACTTGGACCAGAGTAGGAATATTTAATTATATAAAATGTAATTTTTCTGGATAATTGATCAGAATGTTTTTATTTTTCTCTTGTAGGAGGCATGCAATTCTGGGTGTCATCAGAGTCCAAACTTTCTGATTCCTGGCAGCCACGCTCCCTGGATATTGAAGTGGCAGCCTATGCACTGCTCTCACACTTCCTACAATTTCAGGCTTCTGAGGGAATCCCAATTATGAGGTGGCTAAGCAGGCAAAGAAATAGCTTGGGTGGTTTTGCATCTACTCAGGTGAGAGATGATAGTTTTTTCCCTTTAAACTATAATATATATAATATATATTTCTTGTTAGATGTATTTTATATATCTAATAA